GGTCCCGTCCTCGGGAGGGGGGAAAAAGCTGTCGCATGCGAATGTGCACCAGAACGCACCAGTACGGAGTTTGTGAGCAAATAAGACGTCAAATAATACGTTAACGTTGTGAAGGAATGTTGTCAAAGGCAGTTGATGTTTTATAGTCCGAAGGAGACGGACGTGGGAATCCTTGAGGACGCTTTAACCCGGGTATCCCACGGAAAGCAAACGTTATATAAAGTTGGATCCTTGAGGACGTTTTAACCCCGGATATTCCAAGATAGACCTCAGCAGGAAGCTGGTGAATACTACATTCTCGGCAGTAAACGCCCGGTATACTTTCATTGCTTAATTCGGACTTGTCCGAGGAGAAAGTAAATCGTCTGGATCTCAAGTCGGACTGGCGACGCTATCGTGAGGACATATCATTACATGGATGTACGAGCGAGCTTTGGTTGAACGAGTTGATTATTACTTGCATATGTATCCTTTGTGTTAATCATTGCTGATTGTATATATATCAATACAACCGTTGGAACTTAACGCATAGCGTTCGAGCTCTACATTTTGAAAGCATTGAAGTAACTACTGTTTTACCCCTGGCCAAATTAATTTCATCTGGTACAGGAAGTGCTACCTGATCACAATGAGGACCCACTGTATGTGGGGTCTTGCGACATGGGGCGCATTTTGACAACTCAAGGAGTGCTTGATCAAGTATGGAGACCACTGTTTTTAAAGAGTTTACTTTTAAAGCATTGTCGACTATACGCCTTCCCTGGGGCACCCTCACGTAACGACGCTTATACCATAAAGTTTTCTGGAGTTTGTCTGGTGTCTAAGCACGTTACTCCTAGTTTATGGAAAAAGTCATGGGCGAAGAGGAGACTGCGAATCTACTGAATGGAACTGGACTTCCGGTCAAAATGGACGCTAGGCACGGTCACTTTTTTGAGTCGTGGTAAATTTTTGCTTCTGTTAGATGGTGGTAGTTGCATTTTTGCTCCATTTGTAGACTGAAAGGATATAGTTTCGTTGCCCAGCTTCTGAGTTGAGTGCATGGCGCGACACTGTGAGCTGCGGATTTCATTTGGAATGTTTTTTTTTTACTGTGGCCAATATGGTTGTGTGAATTGTAGATTCGGAAAATGGCGCATGCCTGTTGTCGCCATATTAGTGGTGCCATTTTGTGATTAAAATTGATGGCGTGTGCAACTACTGATCTGTTGGTGACTTCTGCTATCACCGATGATGAACTGCTTTTCTAATGTCGGACTGTTTGTGTAAGCCCTTCTGATGGCTACAGTATGCTTTTAATGCATGTGTATGCTAGTGCATATGCTGATACAGCAGTCTGTCAATCTTTCCACAAGAGACCGTGATTAACATTCCGTGTATTTTCGCTGGCAAAGGAGCGGAGCAACTATGGGGTGACCCGTTTGCTATGGAGCTGAAACTAAGAATACCAGATTACTGGATGGAACAATGGACAGGGTATAGAATTTCCACTTTTGTTGAGGACAGAGAGTTGCGAGGGTGTAGGATTTCCAACTTGACGGGTAGTGAGTCAGACAGATAGTCAAACGACCCACGAACTAGGTCACTGGATAAAATTACGTGACCCTGTTGTTACTATATCACCTGTTGAAATACTTCTTCTTAAAATCCATGCCGTGTGGCGTTGGTAGTCATGTCTATCCACAACTTTCTGTCTCGTGTACTTTCAATCAACTCTGACACAGATGATCCTCCACGCCGTGTGGCACTGGTAGTCATGTTTATACACAATCTTCTGTCTCGTGTACTTTCAATAAACTCTGACATAGATGATCCTCCATCTATTCTCTCGGTCTCCCTCTGCCTCTCCTTTCCTCCAACTTTCCCACTGTGACGATGTACTCCAGTTTTCTCCTTCTCGTTACATGACCAAAGAATGTAGATTGTCTCTTTCTGATGTGGGAAATTCTCCTTATGAGTCAGTTTTTTTTAAGACATCTTTATTACTCTTTTTATCTGTCCAGGGTGTTCTCATAATTCGTCTATAAAACCACATCTCCAAATAATTTTTTACTTATCTACCAACTGTCCATGACTCACTTGCCGAATATCAAGATAGGATTTACATAGCTTTTAAGAATTCTCTTTCTCGTCTCAGTTGACTAGCCCCAAAAAAATAATTGCATAAAGTATTCTTAATTTTGTAAAATGCTGCCTTTGCTTGAGCTATTCTTCATTTAACGTCTTTAATACATCTCCCATCTTATGTTGTCAGGGTACCCAAGTACTTAAACATATCAACTTGCTTGAGGTTTGTCCTATTTACTTTCATGTTTCATTCTGAAGGATCAGTTTTCTGTGTAAATACCCTTACTTATGTTTTTCTTCTGTTCAAACTAAGACCCTTGTTTTCACTTCCCGTTACAGTTATAACACATCACTTCTTGCAGCTGTGTTTCATTGTCAGCGATCAACACTATATTCGTCAGCAAATCGCAGGTTGTTAACAATAAGCCCACCAACTGGTATTCCTAGCATACCATGTATAGATCTAATTATTATCTCGCTGTAGTACATATTGCCCTAGAAATTGTGTAGGATAATCCCCACCCAAAGGTTGACCGTTTTAACGCCTTATCTACGGTTATATAACAATCACCAAGTGCCGATTGGTCTATAAAATATAGGTCTAGCCCTATATGCCCAATAAGTCTGGAAGCGTGGAAACGGTTCCTTTCCTTATTTGTTTTACTTTATCTAGTTATAAAAAGCAAAGGACCCTTTCCCACGCCTTCGGGAGTATTGGGCCTTAAGACCTAGACTATATTTTATAGACCAATCGGCACTTTGTGGATGATGTTGTCAGCATCACGTAGGCTGCCTTTACTTCCCATGGCTGTAACTGGTATCCATTACAGTTTGGATCCACCTGGGAGCCAAGATCAATGTGAGAAAAGCCCAGCTCCTGTTAGGGCCTGAAACAACGACCTTCCGATCCACAGGCGAGCGTCCTTCCACTACAGCACGGCTGCTCCCCGTCTACGGTTATGGCTCTTGAAAAATATCAAATTGTCTAGTAGAGATGGCATTACAGGGGAGATATTCTGGGTTATAGCTTATCTAAAAACAAGAAGATGCTCAGCACTTTCTGTCAGGTCTTGTTTATGTTTATTCAACGGATCAACGTCATGGAAATGGAAGACAAGAAGCAGGATATAAACATAGCATTAGTAAAAAATAAAGTAAAGGACCCTTTTCCACGTCTCTAGGCGTATAGGGCATATAGGGCTAGACCTATGTTTTTATAGACCAGTCGGCACAAGATGGCTGATGGGGTCAGCATCACGCCGGTTGCTTCTACTTCCCGGGACTGCACCTGGTACCCACTCAAGGCTGGGTCGACCTGGGAGCCAAGGTCATATTTGAAAAAAAAAAAAAAAATCCCGGCTCCGCCAAGAAGCGAACCCACGACCTTCAATCCGAGATTGAGTGTCTAGCCGCTCCGCCACGGGGACTTCCAAATATAGATTTAGAGCATACACATATTAAAATGGCATCTGAGTTTAAATATCTTGGAACAACATTCACTGAAGATGGTAAATTGGACGAAGAAATTGACATCCAATGCAGTAAAGCTGGCCAAGTATTGGGACAGCTAGCCCCCAGCGCCCCCCCCCCTTTCCCACCTAGGCAAATATACGTCCAGTAGAAAAACCACACAACAGCTAGGGGCTGTTGGGGTTGGTTCTGCACCGTCCTGTAAAGGATACGCAACTAACCTAGTTTACTACCCAGAGACCAGGGAAAATTACTAGAAGTCCACGTGGAAAAATCCCAGCCTTCATCGGTGCTTGACCCCGGGACCTCCAGCAATTGAGGCGGACACCATACATTGAGACCACGCAGCTCCCTGAGTTTGAGTGTCAGGTCTCGGTGAGATAAGACTGAGCTACCTTTTAACATTCGACATCCCTGTCTATTTTCTGTGTTTTTTTTTTTTTAAAACAATCCTTAATTTTTATATTATCACATTCGACGACTTTGCACATTTAGCATCCCCATACGTGCGCAGTCCTACGATGCAGCAGCCACTCTAAAGTACATTTACTGATTGTTCCCATAAGGAGTTGGTTTTAATATATCCTGTCCTAATCTCGAAGACGGCCTAATCGATGCTTCACAAAGATTAACTTATCTTTTACTTATAGTTGGCGACTTATGCGTTGCGAACACGCCTCGTAATGCCGAGGTGCCGGGTTTGATCCCAGCTGTAAAGGCAATTTTGCAGCAGAACACTGCGTTGGTTTCGACAGTGGTACCGAGAGCTAACCCTTCAGTAAGCAATGGCAAACTACCGGACGTAAAATTTGCCTAAAAAAATCATTTAAAAAACATTCTGGGGTTGGTTCTGCAACGACATGTAAAGGATAAGCAACTAACATTTAAAGTTTAAAAAAAAAAAAAACACGTCTTTGTTTTCTTCCATGTTTGTTTGTTCGTTTAAGTATCCAGAAGCCACGAGTTGTTAACCCTTAGGCTCGGTATTATGGCATATCGCAACCTTTCGGTCTTGATTCCATTGTAAATACCGTAAATCTGGGAGAAAATGTGGCTTTTCTGCCCACCCCCGGGAGTGAACCCGGACTACAAGGAGTTGGTCACCCGGTCACCGCGCAATCAGGTTTAGCCAACTACGCTATAGAGCCGGGCATTTTTTTCTTCCATAAGAAACTCGCAAGTCAGCAACTTTCAAATCCCACAGAGCATGAAATAACATTGTCTCACAAGGCGTAGCTGGGTAGGGACGTCTGGGGTGTCCAGTTACGTGTTCCCGTTCGGGCAGAAGTGAGTGATGTTTAAACCAGCGAGACGTTGAATGGGACGGGTCACACAAGCGACAACAAAGGTGAACACACAGGTCGTCTGTTCGTAGACACGGGAAGGTCGTAAAGGTCGCACAGACACCCGTCTCACAGAGAATCGCTATTTGGATTTTGGACACGCAGCTGGTCAAGTTAAAGATGACCAATCCCCGCGTCTGTGTTATTGCTGTGGATGGAAGCGATGATTCAGAATATGCCTTGCATTGTAAGTTTGTGATTTATTTTATGTTGATTATATTTACGATATCAGTTTGTTTAGAGGGCTCGTGAGTTACTTGCCGTTCTTTTTAGGATGAAATTTTTTGTTATTTGAAGCCCCACCCTGGCTCTTACCAGGGACCGCAATATAGCCAGGCCGGTAAATGTGGTCTAATGGCTGAACGCGGTTTCTGGGACCTCTCCATGGTGATCTTCATTCCACATGGTGGCACATTGTGTCATCAGGTGTTTATCGTTTGTGTGATGTCCTGGTAGGGTAGAAAGTCAGTCAGTCAGAGATCTCGTGTCGTGGAAGATTCCAGTGCTGACCAGACAGATGTGTGTAGTAGTACTACTGGTACGCACACTACAGGCCATGACTTGGTTTGTTGACTGTTGCTTTGCGAAAACAACAAACAAATCATCACATTCAACCAGCATGCCTGAAGGAGGAGCTTTAGGACAAGTTATAATTGTGACTAGGTTATGTGTGTCATATAAAATGGCTTAACACTGTCTGCCAAGTACCAAATAGCTCTGAACAGAACTCTGGCTCTCCTAGTTCCTAGCACATTTGGACGCAAGCGGGACGGTCTTCGGTCGGCTTAGTGGGAGTTCTCTCCCTTGGCCGCATTGACAACAACGAGCGGGAAAAGTCACGAATCAAACAAGACAGTGAGGTCGATATCAGGGCTGCCAATGTTTGGTTGTGTCCCCCCCAGATCTGCGTTTTTCTTTTGACGCTGTGGGGAAATCATACGTTTTTTTTTTTTTTTGGGTGTTTTGCCGATCTGTATGCTTTGATGACCGATAAATTTGCGTGGTTAGGGTTAGGGTTAGCGGTAGGATTAAGGTTTGGGTTAGGGGTAGCGTTAGGGGTAAGGTAAGGTTAGGTTTAGCGTTAGATGTGACAATTTTGACACCGTAGTTCCCTATAATCGCGCCAGAACTCTTGCAGTGTTAATGCGATCAAAGGAGACAGACCAAAATAGTGTCTCTATTCGAGGACGAAGTCTCTACAGATGAGCCAATGGGCCGCCTGGTCACCGATGCAGTAGGCCAATCGATCGATATTTTGTATACATTTTACCCGATCCTGCAAAAAGAAACACGTGAGGACAAAGACAAGAAAAAATTTAATTCTAAATTAAAAAAAAAAAAAAAAAAGTTATTTGAAAAATAGATCTCTTGATATCAAGAATTCCTCCCTCAGCCCCACTCCACTCATTCATTTCTACATCTAAACAATGTCGTAGAGAGCCCAGGGCTGCCAATGGGATTTTTTTTAAACCCAGCTTTGCTAAACAAAAACCCAAGCAATACATAAACAAAAAAACAAAAACCCAGATTGTTGAAAATGTACAAAATTTATAGTTACAAAACGAAACATTTACCACTTTTATATAAGGATATATTTTTTTTAAACTGATTTCCCCGAGGCGTCAAATAAAAACCCAGATATGGGGGGAAACCCAAGCATTGGCAGCCCTGAGAGACCCCAGTTATGGTTTTTTTGTGTGAGAGAGGGGAGAGGAAGTAATCTGTATGTACAATCTTTTATAATGTTTAAACTACCACTGCTGTACTAAAAACAGTAACTTAACAGAAGGGAATGGCAAATTAATGGACGTATTTTTGCCTAGAAAAAAAAAAAAAAAGCTGCTATGTCCTGACAGAGATACACAACTAACTGTAGATAAAAACAGAAAACGTCCCAGTCAGAACATACACATAATTGTTTGTAGATCTTTAAAAAACGCTAACAGTAGCTATTTTAGGTACTTGAATCTGTTTGTATGATCTTTATGAAAAATATGGCGGAGAGACGGAACATCTATGAATTAATAATTAGGTATTTGATGTCTGTCAGAATGATGGGGGATGCTTCTCCCCATTTGAATGTGTAGGGCGGTGGAGGAAAAACAAGAATAGACCCATGCATCTCTAAATTCGAATACAACTGCTTGGAAGAAGTACAACTGCCCGAGTGACAAAGAACAACCAACTGCACACAAATAAGACAGTAAAATGGGTGTATACACAAAACTCAGGCCCTGGCTGAAACCCTAAAACCAAATGGGCGAACAGCCAGGACTTTCCGCAGGAGATTGCTGTGGGTGAACAAAGAAGGAAGAAAACATTTGTGTATAATCTGAATAGCATAAAATGTGTCACTCCTCCGAATAACACTCCCAAATTATCGAGGTTAAAAATAGCCTAACAGGGCCTCAATAGATCATCTAGTATAACTAGTAAAAACTGGGAAATAAAATATAATTAACCCTAACCCTAAGGCAAAGAACATTTACAGTTGCCACGTCATCAATGGCTACACATTATTGCTTATCTCTGTCGTAGCTGAAGGCCTGCCTGTCATATTTGCCGGAAATAAATCCTAATTTTACATATCATTGAGGTCCTGTTAAGGTATATTTTTAACCTCGATAATTTGGGATTGTTATTCTAAGTAGTGCCAATAAAATTTATCAAAATGTGAATGCTATCTTTGGTTCTCATTTGGCTTTCCCAGGGTACAGCAAACATGTGCACAAAGTTGATGACAAGGCTGTGCTAGTTTTTGTGCCAGAGCATCATGGGTTGCTTCATGCTTCCAGATGGGAGAACAGTAAGTTACCTGTTTGGCATTACATTATATTTCTATAAAATATAGGTCTAGCCCTATATGCCCAGCACACCATAATTTTTTATTTATTTATAGAAGTGTCTTAGAATGCCCAATTGAATGGTAATAAACAGTTCTGGTCCATTACTTCACTGTGGTGATGGCAGGGGTTCCAAAACCGTGGGCTTGGGCACATGGAACACCACCACCACCACCACCCCACCTCCCTCCCCCTCATTAATTGAATGAGTGCTGAGCTACCCCCCAACCAGTGTACCCACCACAGAGTTATTAAACAAAGATAGACAGATCATTAATACAATACCAGCAAAGCCTGGCATATGATATCACAAACGTCTAGTTTGAGAATGGGGGTGGAGGCAGTCACTGCCGGCTGTATACACATGCTCCATGCAGAGTGGCAAGAATTGCTTCAGAGGTCGCTGGGACGTTAGAGTCATTTGGATATTTTTTCCAGATCATGCCAGTGCGTTGGGAAATGAGCAGGCCTGTTCTGCACTACTAAGGTGGTGAACTGATGTATCACAAGCTAGATGTTGCAAGGAGCCCTTGGTAGCAAGTGAACAGTGTGGAGGCACAAATAGATCATAGTGGTCTGAGGAGAATGGCACTGCGAGGAGTTACCAGGGGATCTGACGCTCATCACTCAGGGAAAGGCAAGATGGATATACAGACAGTTACTAGTGACCACTTGAATAGCCTGATCTATTATTCAGTTCTTTTTTTTTCCTAGGGAAAAAAAGGTGCTGGTGTACACTAACATGTGTGTCTTTACAAAATGTACAGGTACCACCAAATATCTATTACGGTAATGCTGAAACAAAACAGTGCCAGTTCTGCATATTGTTGCATACCACTGGGGAAGAAAGGCCCAGATTATAGTAGTGCTTAGAAAATGATGCTTAAAACAGGTGCTGAGACTGCTTGCTTACTGCCAGAAAAAAAATCCCTGCCCTGAATCATTTATAGAAATTGGCGTCATGCACATTATTATTATTTTTAAGCACTTAAACCAAGACTTAAGCCATTTGAGGCCCCTCTCTTCAGATCATGCAATGTAATAAAATAACTATTTTTTTTAATGAAGGATGATTGAATGTACATATATCAGTTACATCTAAACGGAACAATTATGGAATATCTTCTTTTTCTTCGATCTTTCGGTCAGAAAACCTACATCAAGAGGCTGGTAGCGTTTATGAAAGCTATTGTGCAGTCCAAATCTTCTTGTGTGCTATACAGCTTTGTCTTCATTGTGGTTGGAACAGGCCAGATTGCGTCTCGTTGGTAGCATACAGTGGAAGATGTTGGAAGCACATGCTCAGCATTTTCAGGTGCCACGCTGCAGGGACACATCTCCATGTTACACATCTCCACATCTCCACCACACAGAGCCCGAACTCCATAGCCCCCGTGACGATCCCCAGGGATCTCTGCAAAAATTGCACTCATCAACTGAACGACACGTCACTGAAACAAACCCACGACCTTCAGAGCGTGCAGCAAATGGTTTGATCTCTTTGTGGATGTGATCATCATGATGCCAGCCACCTTTACTTCCCAGGATGTTACATGATACCTGTTTAAAACTGGGTCGTCCTGAAGGCCACGGTCAGAATGTGAACCTTCCCTGTGTGGGTCCTGGGGTCCCATTGTGGGGAAATCAAGAATAGACCTACTACCTTGCTAACAAGCATCTTGTGAGAGTCGACTATTTGGAAGTTTCCTTTGAAGTCGGAGTGCATCTGCCTGAGAGGCAAGGAATTAACAGTCTGCATACAGATAAGTCAGACCTGCTAAACGGATATGCACGCTACACTCAGGTTCTGAAACAAGTCTAAGTCCAGAGGTGGATGAACAACCAGAACTTTCTGCCGGAGTTTACAGCCCGTGAACGTGAAGGACGTGAACCGAAGCCACAAGCAGAAGTCTGCCCGCCACACTATGATGGCTTCCAAATATGTAGTAGTAATCTAAATGATAGTATCCTGTTCCATCTACCTGGGTTATGATTAAGGTATATAAAGTTTGCATATATCTGGCCAGCTGAATCCCTAACACTTGTCTAGAGCTGTCAACATCATATTCTACAACTGTCTATTACAATGCCTCACTCTGATGCTTCACATGTCACAGCTAGTCTAGCACACAGAACATTGCCTAGTCACCCTTTTCATTAAATACACAAAACTTTACAGTCACAGAACATGTATTTTTCAGCTGTGTACGCGCTGAACCGAGACTTGCCAGAGTCCATGTCAGATGGTGAACAAGACCAAATCAAATCTGAGCTGCTCAAATTTGCAGAAAAACTTCTAAATCTAGGAGTAAGTTGTATTATATCATTTATGGCATGTGTAAATTTAAATATTCTATGGATTTTTTTAAAACAATATAAATGCTCAATTCATTCATAAGCAGTTATAAATTGCCAGTGTTAAGCCATCTTGCCCCACAATATGTTTGATTAAAGTCGTATAGATGAAATGGGAAAAAAATAAGGCCTCCAGGTAATTGTTTTCTGATTCATCTGTGTCATATGGTTTTGGTAGTCATGATCTTATCTCATGTACTTTCAGTCAGCTCTGATACAGAGGATCTTCCATGCCATGATGTCAAACGATTAAGATTCTTCTCTCTCCCCTGTAGCTTTCCCACCGTCACGATGTAGTTTTCTTCTTCTCATGACATGGCTGAAGAATATAGATTATCAATTTCTGATGTGGGCAATCAGTTCTTTTCATGAGTCAGTTTTTCTAAGACTTCTTCATTACTCTTTTGTTCTGTCTAGGCTATTTCCATTATTTATCTGTAAAATCACATCACCGCTTCCAAGTATTTGTTCACTAATTTACCAACTTTCCATGATTCACTTCTGCATATCAGGGAAGGATTTATATAGCTCTTGATTATCTTGGTTTGGGATTAGCTTCAGCAAATTCTGCAGTTCTTTTTGAGATAGTTGGACCGTGCCTGCAGAAATTAAACTGTCAGTAACCAGTGGAGATACAAATGGTTCAGACCTGTTTGAAGACTGTCTCAAGATAGTGCACCACAAAGAACCCTGTCACTTAGACACAATAGAAGTGTTTGGAGACTCCATTTCAGAAACAAAAAGGGTGGGGGAGGGGGGGAGATATAATTTTTTATTTTATATTGATGTCTTCATCAGATTGCATATGTGATCCCTGAAAGCATGATATTTAACTGTTGTCCTTGCTAGATTGCATAAGTGATTCCCAAAAGCATGATCTTTAATTGTTGTCCTCGTCAGATTGCATAAGTGATTCCCAAAAGCATGATCTTTAACTGTTGTCCTTGCTGGATTGCAGAAATAATCCCTAAAAGTATTATCTTTAACTGTTATCCTCCTCAGATTGCAGAAATGGTCCCTAAAGGCATTATCTTAACTATTGCCCTTGCCATATTGCATAAGTTATCCCTAAAAACATGATTTTTAACTGTTGTCCCTGCCATATTGCACAAATGATCCCTAAAAGCATGATCTTTAACTGTTTGTGTCTTTTTGGGAAAATGAATACTGAAAGCATGATCTTTAACTGTTGCCCTTGCCAGATTGCATAAATGATTCCTAAAAGCATGATTTTTAACTGTTGCCCACATCAGATTGCAGGTAAAGTGAAGAATGTACTCGCTGCCAAACCTGAGGAAGGGATTTTGCGGGTCGCTGAGGAGGAATCTGCTGACATGATAGTAGTGGGCAGTCGCGGGAGGGGAGCCTTTCACAGGACATTCGTTGGCTCAATCTGTGACCACCTGGTCCACCATTCCCATTGTGCAGTCGTTGTCTGCAAGAGGCCACCCAAGGGAGCACCAGAACTGTATCCTGAAGAACCAAAATGTTGACTGTTGTTAACCCTCTAGGTTTCAGTTGTCAGTTTTTGTATGACTTCAGTTTCTTTTAAAGGTTTCAGTTGTCATTTTCTGTATCACTTCAGTTTCTTGTAAACATAGGTTTCAATTGTCATTTTGTGTGTCTCAGTTTCTTGTAAATAAAGGTTTCACATTTCATTTTCTGTATGACTCAGTTTCTTGTAAACAAAGGTTTCACATTTCATTTTCTGTATGACTCAGTTTCTTGTGAACAAAGGTTTCACATTTCATTTTCTGTATGACTCAGTTTCTTGTAACAAAGGTTTCAATTGTCATTTTTTGTATGACTTCAGTTTCTTGTAAATAAAGGTTTCAATTGTCAGTTTCTTGTAATCAAAGGTTTCAATTTTCATTTTCTGTATGACTTCAGTTTCTTGTAATCAAAGGTTTCAATTGTAATTTTCTGTCTGACTTCAGTTTCTTGTAAACAAAGGTTTCAATTGTCATTTTCTGTATGACTCAGTTTCTTGTAACAAAGGTTTCTATTGTCATTTTCTGTATGACTCAGTTTCTTGTAAACAAAGGTTTCAATTGTCATTTTCTGTCTGACTTCAGTTTCTTGTAAACAAAGGTTTCAATTTCTTGTCATTTTCTGTATGACTCAGTTTCTTGTAACAAAGGTTTCTATTGTCATTTTCTGTATGACTCAGTTTCTTGTAAACAAAGGTTTCAATTGTCATTTTCTGTCTGACTTCAGTTTCTTGTAAACAAAGGTTTCAATTGTCATTTTCTGTATGACTCAGTTTCTCGTAACAAAGGTTTCTATTGTCATTTTCTGTATGACTCAGTTTCTTGTAAACAAAGGTTTAAATTGTCATTTTCTGTCTGACTTCAGTTTCTTGTAAACAAAGGTTTCAATTGTCATTTTCTGTATGACTCAGTTTCTTGTAACAAAGGTTTCAATTGTCATTTTCTGTATGACTTCATTTTCTTGTAAACAAAAGTTTCAATTGTCGTTTTCTGTATGACTTCAGTTTCTTGTAACAAAGGTTTCAATTGTCAGTTTCTGTATGACTTCAGCTTCTTGTAACAAAGGTTTCAATAGTCAGTTTTTGTATGACTTCCGTTTCTTGTAACAAAGGTTCCAATTGTCAGTTTTTGTATGACTTCACTTTCTTGTAACAAAGGTTCCAATTGTCAGTTTTAGTATGACTTCCGTTTCTTGTAACAAAGGTTTCAATTGTCAGTTTTTGTATGACTTAAGTTTTCATCAACAAAGATTTCAGATGTCCGGTGTTGTATAACATTCTGTTATTTAATAAAAATTGCTAATAAATCATGACCTTGTTTTGTTTTTGTTTATTTTTGAGTTTAAAAAAAAATAGGTTTTAATTTCTGGGCAAGAGTTATGTTTTTATTTATAATTTCAGGATTGCCCATCTTGCAATATGAGAATCCAGTTTGTTTGAACATCCAAATTTTCCATGGAAAAATTAAAATTTGAAGATGAGAATCTAGTATTCAAAGGACTTTAAGTGGGTGGACAGTTAAATTATATGACAAACTGGCAACATTGAGAACAATAGATACAAAAAGGATTAGGATGGCTACCTGGAACACCAGCAGAATTGGGAGACAAAGCTGAAACTGGTAGAATTAAAGATTGAAAATAGTGAATTTATATCATATTGAATCCCTATATAAAACCTGCACAAAAGAATAGGAAAATAAACTCTGCAACAATTGAAGTAATGGCAATAGGCAGGAAACATAATAACATGAACGTTCATTTTAATTGTACTACAAACAGACAAGAATTCAAATATCGAGGAAGCATATTTACAGAAGATGGCAGACTCTGTAGAGAGATAGAAGAAGCCAGGAGTACGGTGTCATCTACCAGTTAGCCTCACTATTCAGATATCTGAATGTCACCCTTCCAGCAAAACAGCAAATGATTAACATTTTCATCTCTACTTTATACTATCGGTACCAAACATGGGCAATGAATAAGGCACTAGAACAGAAAATAACTACCTGTGAAATGTGCTGTCTCCGCCAGGTCACTGACAGCTCAAGAAAGGGCAGGAGCACAAATACCAGCATTAGAGAGATAGTTGGAATAAGACTGTATTATATGGTCAATGAATGAAATGTTTCAGCCATCCACTACGTATGCGAATTTTATACAGCAGAACATCTCGAAAGACTAAGAAAGATGGGTGAATTGTATAGCTGAGATCTACTGACTGATGTTCAACCCCAGGATGAACAGTAAACATCCGGTGACACAAAGTGAGAACCATTCAGATGAGAATTACATGGGCAGCATAAACCCTGTTCAACTGTTAGATCATATTTAGGGCCCCCTGACAAAAGCCGGTGTGGCTTTAAAAAAACTAAATATTGCATTTCATATTGGGGCTGAATCAACATGATTAAAGTCGAAGCCTGCAAACAAGATAAGCAAAGCCATCATCCAAGCTACCCTAAAAGCACAAGAGAAATACAGAGAAATGATGGCACCTGTAACAGTTAGACCGGCTAGCTGTAACCCGCAACGTTGTACGGATAGGGTCTCAGGAAAAAAAAACCTGGCTATGTCTGATTTTAATTGTAGCTCAGATGGGCTGAACAGGATATCATTGTTGAAACACTACTACTGCTACCACCCCAACAACAACTGCCACTTCTACCACTACTACTACCATAACCATTAGTACCACCACCATTACTACTACCACCACCATTAGTACCACCACCATTACTACTACCATCACCATTAGTACCCCCACCATTACTACTACCACCACCATTAGTACCCCCACCATTACTACTACCATCACCATTAGTACCCCCACCATTACTACTACCATCACCATTAGTACCCCCACCATTACTACTACCACCACCATTAGTACCCCTACCATTACTACTACCATCACTATTAGTACCCCCACCATTACTACTACCATCACCATTAGTACCCCCACCACAACTACTACCACCACCATTGGTACTCCCACCATTACTACTACCACCACCATTAGTACCCCCACCATTACTACTACCACCACCATTACTACTACCATCACCATTAGTACCCCCACCATTACTACTACCATCACCATTAGTACCCCCACCATTACTACTACCACCACCATTACTACTACCATCACTATTAGTACCCCCACCATTACTACTACCATCACTATTAGTACCCCCACCATTACTACTACCATCACTATTAGTACCCCCACCATTAACTACTACCATACCACCACCATTACTACTACCATCACCATTAGAACCACCACCATTACTACTACCATCACCATTAGTACCCCCACCATTACTACTACCATCACCATTAGTACCCCCACCATTACTACTACCACCACCATTAGAACCACCATCATTACTACTACCATCACCATTAGTACTACCATCACCATTAGTACCCCCACCATTAGTACTACCATCACCATTAGTACCCCCACCATTACTACTACCATCACCATTAGTACCCCCACCATTACTACTACCATCACCATTAGTACCACCACCACTACAACTGCCACTTCTACTTCTACTAACAACAACACTACTACTACTACATTTACCACTACTACCACCGCCACCACTATTACATTTACCGCTGCTACTACTACTATCACATTTACTACTACTACCATCACCACTACTTCTACCATCACTGCCACTACTACTACTACCACTATGACCACCACAAAGATTACTACTTCTACCACCACCACCACTACTACTACATTTACCACTAATACCATCAACACAACCACTATTACTACTACTACCACCACCACCACTATGACCACCACAACAATTACTACTTCTACCACTACTACTACTACAACATTTATTACCAATACTACCACCACCACCACTTTTACTACCATCACCATTAGTACCACCACCACTTACTACCATCACCATTAGTACCATCACCACTACTACTACCATCACCAATAGTACTACGACCACTACTACTACCATCACCACTAGTACCACCACCACTTACTACAATCACCGTTAGTACCACCACTACTACTACCTTTACCATTAGTACCACCACCACAACGACTTCCATCCCCATTAGTACCACCACCACTACTACCATCACCATTAGTACCACCACTACTACCACTATCACCATTAGTACTAACACCATTACTATTTCCATCACCATTAGTACCAACACCATTACTATTACCATCACCATTAGTACCACCACCATTACTACTACCATCACCATTAGTACTACCATCACCATCACCATGGTGGTGGCAGTAGTGGTGGTGGTACTAATGGTGATGGTAGTAGTAATGGTGGTAGTACTAATGGTGATGGTAATAGTAATGGTGTTGGTACTAATGGTGATGGAAATAGTAATGGTGGTGGTACTAATGGTGACAGTAGTAGTAATGGTGGTAGTACTAATGGTGATGGTGAGCCCAGAACCAGAGCGTCATGTGTCGGCTCTGCATTTACGGCAGCCACCTTGGATGGCGGGGAATGCCCATGATCTGCCTATGCTAGAGGGCTGAACGTTCTATATAGGGCTGCCCTAAGTGGGGTACTCCGAGGGAAACACATTTAGATAAAGGGACAAAGAGTACACCACACAAATAAGGCAACATCTCGATCCACACACACACACACACACACACATGGCTACAGTCATCCCAGAGATAGGCCTGATGTCTTCTCTTGAAGTCGATGTACAACTGCCAGTAAGGCAGGGAAAGCCAAAAAAAAGTTGTACACGTAGAACTCAGGCTCAGGAAAAAGGCAAAAGTCTAAGAGAACGAATAACCTGACCTTCCGCCGGAATTCACAGCCGGTGAGCGAAGAAGAAGAAGAAGAAGAAGAAGAAGAAGAAGAACTGCTAATACTACTACTATTACATTTACTACTACTACTACCACCACTACTACTACCCCCATTACCACCACCGTTACTACTACCACCACTATAACCATTACTACTACTACAAC